ACTGATCCAATATAATAACATCCCATAAACACACTCTTGGCAAAAGGCAAATTCAGAAACATATTGTCTCACATGCAGCTCCAGCAGCTCAAGAGAAAAACCAGCAAGAGAAGTCTGAGATAGTGTAGCAGGGAGAGATCTACTACAGCAACAGACCCAGGAACAACCACTACAGAAAAACCACGAAACTAGAAATCCTGGTTCTGTGGGAGCTTCACCACACCCATTCAGGCTGCTTCTATTGTTCCAAATTTTGAGAAACCCCAAGAGTTCACAAGCTGCTCACTTATTGGTTTTCCAAATAGATAGCTCTGCACGTCCATCTTCAAACCTTTCTTTACAAAAAAAGGACAAAACAGACCTCTTAAAGCCATAGAGTCATCGCACTTACTTTCTTCAGGACATCTCAGAGCTCTAATGGTTTGAAGCCTGCTACAACAGCATCCTTTTTGGCATTGAGTCTTTAATCACTGTAGACAACTCCCTCACTCAAACTCTTGACTGCTCTTCAATTAACGTTGAACTATTTTGAGTGACCTTTTGAAAGCCTTGCAACAAAGGCTCACCCTTGTTCCTAGGCAAGATTGAATATAGCAACCATTGCTGCCCCATACAGTTCTCCAGCTAACTTCTGCTTGACAGTTGCTGCCAGCTCAGAACACAACTCAAACATAGGAGGACGCAGCAAAATGAATTTTCTCACAATGATCTGCAACCAATCAGCAAAGATTTAACGTGATTGGCTAAAGAATCAGATGTGTCGTGAGGGAAAGCCATTTTACACAAGTTTAGGATTTAGACCATGCTGTCCCATAGAGCAGCAGACACAGATTTGATAATGTGTTTTAAAAGGGAATTCTTGATGAAGAATTGGGTGCAGGGCTATGGAAAAAAAGCAAGGGAGTAGGACTAACATAAGAACGTAGGCATTAAGAGCGGGAATAGGCAGTTCAGTCCTTTGAGTCAGCTCCACCATTTAACATGATCATGGCTGATCTTATCCTGTGTCAAAAGCACTTTCCTGCCTGCTCCCCATAACCCTTTGTCTCACTTTTCATCAGAAGCATATCTATTAGATATGTTCATTTGATATGTTTATTCGACTAACTAGATTGTTGTACAAGAGACAGAGTATGACAGCCCCAGCTGGCTAAAATGTCTCTTGTTGATAGTCAATGGTTCTACCCAATCTGGTATCTTCCCACAGGAACTGCATCGGATGCTGAGGTTTATTGGACTGATCCAACGCAGGAAAGTGGGACTTCTGCAGGAAACCCATAAATTGTGTTGAAAATTCTGGATCTGCAAAACAATGGATCCCAAAGGGCTGTTGGTTTTGTTGTGGTTCAAATTGTTCCTCAGGTTCTCCATGCGATATCTTGTTGAAACCATTTCATTCTCCAAGATGCTGCCCATTTCCATTTTGTATGATTTTGGTTTGTGTGGTAGAATTTGCTATGATCACCTAACAATGCCTGTCATTATTGATTGTGTTTTAAGAAAAGGCCATTGTTCTATTTAGACCTGGTTAAAAGACAATTGCTAAGTGTTTGAAGATCTGTCACTGTACTGCTTGTGATTCGGGCTGTCTGATCTAACCCTTTTTCCCACTTATTCCAGTTTGCAGCTGGCCATTGGACTGCCTGTTCCCAGCGGAAGGGATGGATTTCAATGTCGTGCCTCTTCCCATCTGCCTTTGCTTTTCTGAGCAATAATAGTAGTAGCCATTTGACAACCTGTTAGCCACAAGCTGAGTGTTAAATCCTATGCAGGGAGTGTTCACAGACTAAACAGTAAAAGGAAGGTTCTGAAGGGGTCTAGGCGAAGGGCCTAGATCAGAAAATATCTGGAGTTGAATGCTAATGGTCCAATGGGCTGAATAGTCTCCTTCTGCCTCAGAATTTCTTCAATTTATGATTCATGGAGTCACACAGCACGGAAACACCCTTCAGTCCAAATAGTCTATGCCAACCATAATCCCAAACTGAACTAGTCCCACTGGCTTGACCCATATCCCTCCAAACATTTCTTATTCATGAACTTATCCAAATGTCTATTAAAGAAATGAAAATGAATCAAAATAAAAATCTTATACTGCTGAAATATAATAACCGTAAGAAATGTAGAAGTAAGCTTGCAATCTCAGGAGCAGCTGCAAGATCCACACTGAAAGGCAAATCAGGGCAGGACTTATACACTTAATGGTCAGGTCCTGGGGAGTGTTGCTGGACAAAGAGACCTTAGAGTGCAGGTTCATATTTCCTTGAAAGTGGAGTCACAGGTAGACAGGATAGTGAAGAAGGCGTTTGGTGCACTTGCCTTTAATGGTCAGTGCATTGAGTATAGGAGTTGGGAGGTTATGTTGCAGCTGTACAGGACATTGATTAGGCCACTATTGGAATAATGTGTGCAATTCTGGTCTCCCTACTATAGGAAGGATGTTGTGAAACTTAAAAGGTTTCAGAAAAGAGTTACAAGGATGTTGTCAGGGTTGGAGGGTTTGAGCTATAGGAAGAGGCTGAATAGGCTGGGGCTATTTTCCCTGGAGCGTTGGAGGCTGAGGGGTGACCTTGTTGAGGTTTATAAAATCATGAGGGGCATGAATAGGGTAAATAGCCAAGGTCTTTTCCCCAGGGTAGGGGAGTCCAAAACTAAAGGTCATGGGTTTAAGATGAGAGAGGAAAGATTTAAAAGGGATCTATGATATAATCTTTTTATATAGAAGGTGGTGAGTGTATGGAATGAGCTGCCAGAGGGAAGTGGTGGAGTCTGGTACAATTACAAGATTTAAAAGGCACCTGGATGGGTATATGAATAGGAAAGGGTTAGAGGGATATGGACCAAATGCTGGCAAATGGGACTGGATTTACATAGGATATCTGGTTGGCATGGACGAGTTGGACGGAAGGGTCTGTGTCTGTGCTGTATAGCTCTACAAACTCTACTCAGTCCACCATTTTAGTCACTGTTTTTGAGTTAGAATTCTCACATTGGCTGTGCTGAATTTTGATTGTACTTTGTGGAAAATTTCATTGTTTTAAACTTTCTTGGAGCAAATACGTCCTCAAAAGACAAACGTTGCCTCTGGGCTGGCTAAATGGCCCAATATGTTAGCAGAGAAGACTCACAATGGGCTCTTGATAGATTCAGTTACTTGTTGCAACCTCAGTTTATATTAATGAGTGACTGCACAATAATTATGGTTTAGGTCTTTGTGAGGTTTCTAGAAATAGTACTACCTGAATTTGAGTTTGATATAGAACAGTTTGGAAATGAAAGATTCTGTTCTATTCTGTCCTGTGAATTACACTTTTTTCTTCAGATTTTGTAGTTAAGCTGTTGGCGTTTGTGTAAAAGACCAGAATATTGACCTCAGACTATTTAATATGTAATTCCAGGGGAGAATACGGGAAATCTTTCCCTTTAATATGCACCGTGCACTAGGTAAAATACCTGTGCATAAAGGAGACTTGATAATATTGTGGGTTCGAATGTTGTCCAGCTCAAGCTGCTGATTATCAGTTGCCTTTGATTATTGTTAACAAAGAAAGGTCAGAGTCAAGAAAGTGCTACATGCCTTGAGGAAACTTGTATTTCAAGTATCTCCATCCTCTGTTATTTTAACTGGCATATACCTTAACTGGCCAACGCAGTAATTCTTTGGTATCCTGATCTCTTAAATCCTAATTAACTATTTCACAAATCTTCCAGTATCTCAGTGGTCAAGTATCTTAATTTTGTGGTACATTAACTGTTTAGTATCTTATTCTCCGCGTACCCTAACGATATGGTATCCCTAACCCTCAGACACCCTAACCAAATGATATCATAAATAGTTAAGAAGCTAACTTTCAGGTACACCAACTAGAAAGAGTCCTAATTTTCAGATACCCTATCAATCTGTTAACCTAACCATGTTCTACATCATCGTTCTAACTCCCAGCTCTCATGTACTAGCACCATCTGCGTTTTGCACTGTACAATCTTCTAACCCCACAGTCTCACTTGGCAATAATTTCAAAAATATTGCCATGTAAGGAAGTTTTCCTAATAACCCTCCTACTTGATCTTTGAGTCAGATTGTTCATTGTGATGGCTAGTGATTCAGTTAATAGTTAATCTCTCCCTCTCTCTGTTCCTCTCACGCAATTGTTCATTTAATTGATGGGTTGGAGGAGTTACTAAGCAGGGCAGTGGGGTGGGGTCAGGTTAATATTTGCAAAGATGCTATCATTAACTGGGGTGGGCTGCAGAACATCCTTAATCAAGAATTAACATTCCGTCTTTGTCGATCGTCTCTTTGCACCACTGTGCTCATCTTCTCTGCATTGGAGTCTGAACATCAACGGGTCAAGCTCAGCTCCACCCTGTTGGGTTCACTTTTGCCTCAATTATGAATCTTTTGGCTTTTGTCCCTTCTGCTTCTCCCTATATGCTCTGTTGAAATGCTTTACTGGTTTGAACACCTCTATTAAATCTCCCCTTAACCCTCTCTAAAGAGAACAGTCTTGTTTTTTTTAAAAAAATTGTTCATGGGATGAGGATATCCCAGAGGGCAATTAAGAGTCAACCATATTGATGTGGGTCTGGAGTCACATGTGAGCCAGACCAGGTAAGGATGTTTACAGCTGCTGCCACTTTCCTTGATTTAACTCTTGGATATACTGGATCTACTGTGCCATCAGTAACAGGGCTTTGAACATTCATGGAAGCCGTGCTCTGTCATTCCCTCTCTAGTCCTCCTCCTCAGGCAGCTTCTCCCCTCTCCTTTGTTAACGTGCACAATAAGATTGATATTGCTTTTTATTGATAAAATTTCCAATGGAGAAAATTCCTGTGAATGTGTTAACTGTTCATATTGATCGAAATAATTTCTGTTGTTATTTAAATTCCTGTGCATTGTTTTAAAAAAAAACTTTTAAAAAGCAAGTGAACAATTTTGTTTCAATCGTGCCACTTTAAGAAGGCACTAATGAGTCGCTGTCTTTGTCTATTTTTAGCGGACCCCCCTTTTAGTGCCCTGCCAGCTGTGATTGGCGCTGCGGTGGCAGGAATGCTAGTTGCTGTTGTAGGAACTGTCTTGATGTTTCAGTACATTATAAGGAACCGTGAAAGCATTCCATGTAAGTAATACCCAGCTGTTCAGATCAACATGGCATCAAGTGTCACCACTGGCCTGTAAAAGTGGACACTTCTTAAAGGGGGAGTACTGCTCTTTATAACTTGCTCAGGTCTCTCTTGCTGTCTTGGAGCTCGAGACCCCACACAGTGGCTCAGTAGTTAGTACTGCTGCCTCACCGTGCCAGGGTCAATAGCTCGATTCCACCCTCAGATGACTGTCTGTGTAGAGTTTGCATGCTCTCCCCGTGTCTGCATGGGTTTCCTCCCACAGTCCAAAGATGTACAGGTCAGGTGGATTGGCCATTCTAAATGGCTCATAGTGTCCAGCGATGTGCAGACAAGGTGGATTAGGCGTGGGAAATGCAGGGTTACAGGGATAGGGCAGGGGTGTGGGTTTGGGTGGGATGCTGTTCGGAGGGTCAGTGTGGACTCGATGGGTCAAATGGCCTGCTCCCACACTTTAGGGATTGTATGATTCTATGAATTTCAGCTTAGAGTCTTGAGCCCCAATTTGGGAAGCCCTGTATTGTACTGTCCCCATCAAATATCCCAGGGCAGGGACAGCACAGGGTTAAATATAGAGTTAGCTGCTCTCTATACTGACCCAACAAGACCAGAGCAAGTACAGCAAGGGTTAGATGTGAGTTAATCTTCTTCTATACAGTCCCCATTAAACAGTCCCAGAGGCACAGCACACATAGGTCCTGAGTAAAGCTCCTTCCTTCACCGGAAAAGACCAGAGTTTACCTTGTGCCTTATCAGACCTCCAAAAAAGATCTCACATCTAATACATCTCTGTGAAGCACAGACACTATTGTTGGTTGGTCACGCACTACCTAGTTCCCTGAAACAGCAATGAGATGAACAGTCAATTGATACAATTGGTACCAATCGTTTCGCCAAGCATCTCCGCCTGGCCTGAAACAGCCAACCTAACCTCCCGGTCACCGCCCATTCCAACACCCCAGACCACTCCCCCTTCGACATGTCTGTCCTCAGCCTCCTCCAGTGTTGCAGCAACTCAGAACCTAAATTTGAAGAACAGCACCTCATCCTCCGCCTGGACACCCTACAGCCTGGAGAACTCAACAAAGAGTTCTCCAATTTCAAATGACCTTCCCACCTAGCCTGCAGCTCCCTTTCCAATCCCACCTCTTCCTTTCCATTCCACCTCCTGACCCTCCCTTCCAGCCACCAACCGGATTAATTCCTCCCATCAACCAACCAGGTCGTACCTACCACCAGTGCCCACCTATCACCACCATTCCACCTCCCCCTGTATTTGCAGCTCTCCCTACCCCCACATCCAGTCCCGAAGAAGGGTAATACCCAAAATGTTGACTGCTCCTTTCCTCCAGATGCTGCCTGGCCTGTTGTGTTCTTCCAGCCTCCTGTTTGTCTATCTTGGATTCCAGCATCTGCAGTTTTTTTGACTCTAATTGATACATGGTTTTGGCTGAGGGTGAATACGAGAGAAAGCTTCCTGCTTTTTGGGTGGTGTGATTGATATTTAACAGCCATATGAACAGAATAAAGGACAGCTCTTCTGACAGTGCCACACTCCCTCAATTAGCACTGCCCTGAAGTGTCAGTCCCAATGAGATACTCTCAAGATAAAGAAAAGTCTTTGAGCCCTCAGTCTTCCAACTGAGCCAAGTTGACTATTGCTCCAATGTTTAGACCCCAGTTGATGAAGAGTAAAGTTTCCTCTACTCTGTCTTAAATATGTTTTAGCCTTAATCTCAAAAGACCTGAATTAACCAATTAGTGGTTAACTCTGGAGTGCAATTTGCAAATGATATGGTTAACTGAAAATTGTCGACAAGATTTTTACAATTGGTAAGGATGGGTGATAGACCTAGAAAATCACATTAAGTCCGTTTTTGGGTTATAGACTCACAGAATTCATGGTCAATGCTTGATTGGTGGGATTGGAGGTGCCACTGGACCAATCAGAGGGCTGGCAGCAGAGCAGCCTCTGACATGCCAATATTAGGGGGCACCTGGAAGGAGAGGATGTGCCAGGTGCCTTCAAAGACAGTTGAGGTAGTTTGGGGTCAGGGGCTGATAGCCAGGGCACAGCAAGTGTGTGGGCCTGGATGAGCGATGGGACACTGGCGCCACTATTGCCATGGGGATGGCAATTGCCACTGAGGGGTTATTCAGTTGGGCCCTCCATGGAGTGCATCTGAAGGCGCACCTCCCCCACTCTGAGCCCTCAAGGAGGTTGCCAATTACATTCCTGCATGGGCACAATGCCCATGGAGATGAGAAGTCCCTAAATGACCAAACAATTGGCGCACTTAGCCACCTGAAAGGCAAAGGGTGGTCATCCTCTGGCTCCACCTTCCAGCCTGTCATCTAAGGCCCAAGGAAATTCCAGGCCAATGTCTAAGTTGGGACAGTGTGCTGCTTAGAGAGAAATGTGGAAGTGATGGTGTTCCCATGCTCCGTGTGATGCTGAAGTCAGGTTAGTTAGGACCCAAGATAACTGGTAAGTATTGCATCATACCATTGCTGGTGTAAATACGGTCTTCAATCTAAGTACTGTGGAGTCAAGGGGTTCAGATTGCATGAAATGTATCTGTGACACAGCCTGAAAGGGACTCTGTCATCCTAAGCATTGAGGGAGAACAGATGGAAGAGGAAGGTGTTATGAATTCCTGAATAAAGGAGGACCAATAACTTTTTAATGTAATGATATAAATCACGCTGTGTATCAGAGGAAATATATTTGCTAAAATGCATAACTATTGTGTTTCTCTTAGTTAGTTTATGATGGAGATATAGCTGTGTTTTAATGCCCAATTGTCTCTCTTTCTTAGGGCTGCACGATCTGCTGTTTCAGCGGTAAGTTCTGAACAAATGTGAACAGGTTTCCAAGGTCCTGCAGGAGGAAATGTTCAGCATTTCCACTTGTTCCTGAGAGCCCACCTTTCACTCCCGACACTGCTCAAAATTTTGATCTGTCTGGAGAATTTCAATCGCTCCTCCAGCACCTACAGCCTTGTGGTTTTGGAGCAAGTTCCAGAATGCCACCAATTTTTGACTGGAAAATTATCTCCCAACCACACTCCTGCATGGTCTGACTCAAATGTTAAGGTGGTGCTCCCTCATTCTAGATGACCCACCATTAGTTTCTCATATAGAAATATAGAAATGTAGAAAATAAATGCTGGAGTGGGCCATTGGGCCCTTCGAGCCTGCATTACCATTCAATTTGAGCCTGACTGAGCCACTGGCATGGTGGCTCAGTCGTTCTCCCTCACAGCGCCAGGGACCTGCGTTCAAACCCACCCTTGGGCAACTGTTTGTGTGTAGGTTGCATATTCTCCCTCTGTCTGTGTGGGTTTGCTCCAGCTTCCTCCCACAGTCCAAAGATGTGCAGGATAGGAGGATTGGCCATGCTAAATTGCCCATAGTGCCCAGGGATGTGTAAATTAAGTAGATTAGCCATGGGAAATGCAGGGGCGGGTTTGGGCGAACTTGTTGGGCCGATTGGCCTGTTTCCACACTGTAGGGATTCTATGATCATGCAGTTTCAGTATCCCATTCCTGCTTTCTCTCCATATCCCTTTAGCTGCAAGGGACATGTCCAGCTCCCTCTTGAATATATCTAAAAAGCTGGCCCAAAAACATTTTGGTGTAGAGAATTCCACAGATTCACAGCTCTCTGAGTGAAGAAATTCTTCCTCATCTCAGTCATGAATGGCTTACCCCTTAGTCTTAGACTGTGGCCCCTTGTTCTGGACTTCCCCAACATTGGGAACATTCTTCCCGCATGTACCCTGTCCAGTCCCATCAGGATTTCATATGTTTCTATAAGATCCATGCCCCGATTCTTCTAAATTCCAGTCAGTACAACCATTCGATCCAGTCTTTCCTCATATGTCAGCCCTGCCATCCCGGAATCAGTCTGGTGAACCTTCGCTGGACTCCATCAATAGCAAGAATGTCCTTCCTCAGATTAGGAGGCCAAAATCTTTGCACAATACTCGGATTATCTGTCCCATCCAATCCCAATTTCATTATCATCGCATCAGTCCTGCTAAACTCAAAGCTTAACAAAACAAGCTATGCAATCTGAAAGCCTCACTTAACTCTTGAATTCCTTGTGAAATATTTCAATTTTTCAAGCTCGATGTGACTTTGAAATTGGTTTGCTCAATGCCAGTAGATAGTTCTAACTAATGATGCAGTGATGGTGTTTGTTTTAATGCTAAATATTGCCCCTCACTGCCCTGTAACGAAAGGTGTCTTGCCTTTAAAGTGTTACAGCAAGTTGAATATAGCACTCACCAGACATAGGCAATTATCATAATATGACCATTGGGATTTATAAAGGATTAGAGTGAGCAGATTTTTAATCTACTCTACAGTTAGGGAAATGGTTTCAATGAACTGAGATGGTGATAACTAGAAACGCCTCACCTTCCTTTCAATAGACCAACCAATGAATTGCAGGAGCAGATTAATTTTCCGGAGGATGCTGATGTTACTTCCGCGGCTGAGGGAGAAGATATCGTGGAAAGCAGGGAGCAGACAGAAGGTATCAGATTTTTCATTACCAGCTTTGTTCTCTTCACAGCTCTCCCAGTCTCAACCCAAGAGCTGGGCAAAAAACACGCAGTGTTATCCTTGAGCTATCCTCAAAGATTCAAAGGCATAGTAACTTTGGCTCTTTCACCCTGATTGCCACTCTCGCCCTAAGTGGCTCTCTCATCCTGCTAAGTTACTCTCCAATCCCTGTTGGGGATAGTTTACTATTCCCACAACCAACGTCCCATCACTCCCAAACCCATTGCCCTCTCCACCCTCCAAAATGAGCCCTGGCAGTACCCGCTGAGCTCTGAAGCCAATAGTAGGACATAATTTGCTGAACCTGCCTCTGGCGTTCACAGACCGTGTGCATGGGCTGTTGAAGTCAGAATGGTGATCAAACTTTTTGATTTAATTTGTCTTGAGTCACATAGGTCATAATAACATAGAATTGGACCTCTAATCAAGCTCATGTTTGGAAAATCTGCCATCCATTTCTTTTAATTCTCACATATCATTTCCAAATTTCTAACAAGTGATGGCCCAGTGATCTATTGAAGGACTGGAAAGTGGTTGAATCCTCTTCATTGACAAGTAGATCTTCTCAATCTTTGTGATCAGGGTCCTCAGTATATCTTAAGCTCAGAATGGATGTTGGTAAATTCTGGGGGTCAAGAAGTGGTTGGGTGTGGAAGTGGGGGCATGGGCAGAAATTTCCTGTCATTCCCTGGATCAAATTAACATCAAGGGAAAGACCAAGTAGAGTTGGCCAATGGAAACGGTAAGTACTGCAGATGCTGGGAAGCTAGAGTCAATAGATGTGGAGCTGAAAAAGCACAGCAGGTCAGGTAGCATCTAAGGAGCAGGAAAGTCAACAGTTTGGGCCGAAATCCTTCGTCAGGACTGGGCGTTTTGGCCCGAAATGTTGATTTTCCTGCTTCTCAGTATTGGCCAATGTTTCTCTGAAGATTACTTTTCATTTTCCATCAAAGCAGGAGTGACATTAAATCTCTATTGATTTCCTGGCAAGTGTGGACTAATTCTAACATTGGCCACTTACAGGAGTCGTGTGTACCACTGAAGTTAAGATGGTATCCTCAACAATCGCTAAAGTATTTAGAGCCTCCCCGGAAGGAAGACACCAGAAATTAAAACAAAACCTGTTCAGACTTAAACCACAAATATTTGATCCCATTATTAACAACTTTAGATTCATGAATTTGTTAGTGCCTTGTGTTACACTCCAATCACTGAATACAGGCCCTGTGTCATTGTATAATTTAAATCTCTCATTTGATGTGGGCATTGCTGGCTTGGGCACTTTTTGTTGTTCATCTAAAGGTTTTGGTGAGATGTTTTCTTGCACTGTTACATTTTGCTTTCTATGACCTTGTTACTTCAGAGCTCAGTAAAATACATACCACGTTGCCTTGGTCCGAGGCCTCATGTCAGCCAGACTGACTAAGGATAGCCAATATCCTTCCCTAAAGGGACATTAGTGAACCCAATGGACTTTTAAGCAATATTCAATTAGAGTTTCCATCACAGCAACTAGCTTTCAATTGCAGATCTATTAGTTGACTGACTTTACATGCCACCAGGTGCTCTGTTAGGTTTTGAACCTGTGTCCCAAGAGTATTGATATAGCTGCTCAATTGCTAGTTCAATGACCTTACTGCTATGTCACCATCTCACCATACCCTGATAGTGGGAATTATCCCTAGTTGAGGAAATCAATCGGGTCTCTCATGTGCTGCAAGGGAAGCTGACGATTGCATTTCTCAGGAATGTGGGACCTGTTCTGAACGACTGCCTTCCCTCTTGCAGAGACCAGTCCAGGTCCTTCAGCTGAGGAGACACTTACCACCACGGACACCATTGAATCTCCATCTGCTGGCGCTGAGCAAGGAGACAGCGCAAGCCCAGAGTTAACCAGCACCTGAGAGTCCGAGAAGGAGCCTATGGAAACAATAGAGTCCTCTCTCTGGCAGGATAGATTAAAGCTTTGGAAAAGTCATATTGATGATCGTATTCTCTGAAAGCAATAAAGGAACGCTGGCCCATTGAACTCCATGGTTTCTGTTCAAGTACTGAGTGACATTAGGAAATGGTCATATTAATCAGTGCTGCAGGTGACTGGGCTATGAAAGTTATATGAATTTCGTTGCAAGTAACTTTGTTGCTAACAGTGCATGGCCATTTGTGTCTTCTTCTCCCTCTCCTGCCGCCAACCCACCTCCCATTATCTCAAGCTTTTCATTCCAGTGAGATTTCTGGCCATTGTTTACATTGCTGCACAGGCCTTTCTCACACTGTTTGAACTTAGACCATTGTGAATATCAGTCATTATTGTATTCTGTGGCCCTGTACCATTACTGGCAACATTGTCATTTTGGATTGGGGTCAACAACATTAATAATGATGTCAAGTACAATAATATAGCTCTTTGGTCGCTAGACTGGATAACCATAGGTCTGGATTTATAACTCAAAAAATGAGTTTGAATCTTGCCGTGGGTGTTCTGTGGGAGTCTATCACCAGGGGGCACAATTTCAAACTAAGGGATCTCCCATTGAAGATGGAAATGAAGAGAAGTTTCTTCATCGGGTAGTTATTCTTCCTCAGACAGCCGTGGAGGCTGGGCCGTTGAATAGATTGAAGGATGAGTTGGACAGACTTTTCATTGGCAAGGCAATAAAGGTAGCATATTATTTGCATTCCTCTCTGCTCACTGCACCTCATGTCAGTTTTCAATAACTTATGAGAGACACCCAGACCCTCTGGATGTCAACACTTCCCAGAGTCTCTCACCATTTAAGAAGTATTCTACATTTCTCTTTTCCTACCTATGTATTTTTCCACATTATATTTAATAGTCTTACCCACTCACTCAGCCTATCTAAATCCCCTTGAAGCCTTCTTACATCCCTCTTACAACACACAGTGCTTTGTGTCATCAGCAAATTTAGAAATATTGGCAGGAATCTCGTATTGGTCTGAATGCTGTGGGTCTGAGAGAGATTTGTGGCGGAACTGGGTGAGAAATCTGGCCAGAACCACCTCGATGTTAAGATTATCACATTCCTTTTTCTCTGCACTGGACAGTGAGGCAGGTTTCTCACTAGACAGTGGCGAGTTGCTGATTAAAGGGGAGGATTGTTTGCAAAACACCTGATTAACATCATAACTGACCTCATTAATATTCAACTTCCTACCTTAACAAACCTGTTGGACGTTGAGGATTCTCAATGTGGGAGTCAGAGCAGATATTGAGCAACTGACTGCAAGGAACCTTCATGTTGCCCAGCATCAAACAGTGTCTCAGGGCATGACCCATGTGTACCGGCCATATGCACCCCTCATCCAAGGGCATGGGCATCTGAGATTTGCCAACCCCTCACCATCTTCATGGCACCTCTCAGATCCACTTGCAGGGGCCTTAGGTAGTGCTGAGCTGCTTTGCAGGGTGCACCACCATCCAGTATAGAAAGCAGTGGGGGGGGGCTTCAGTCACAGGGACAGGGACCCAGCTCAGGGATCAGACTAGGCCGTATCTCAGGGATACCCGCTTCCTCTCTCAGCATCTACTTGGCTGCTCACAGTGCCCCTGCCAGGCCTTGTCGTCTCAGTTAGAGTTTGCCTTTGCTGGTCACGGTCCTCAGTCAAGGGGTCGGACATTTTGTTGTATGTCAATCTCACTGTTGTACCATGTACCAGCAGCTAACGCAGCAAAGACTTGGCTTGTGCAGAAAAGCAAGCAGCTGTGTCTCAAAGTCTGAAATGGAGTAGCTCTCATCAAAGCCCATGGAGTTACTCGTCAGTCATGGGGGTCACAACGCATTCAGTCCAGGGCAGCCTGTGACCCTAGTCCAGGGATTGGCTAAGGTCAGGTGTCCAGTAGAGGTGTTCTCAGTCAGGGGCTCTGTGCCACTTCAGTCCAGGGAGCTAGTTACAGTCAGCCCTGTGGCTTTAGAGCAGATAGTCCAGGGAGTATGGCTAATGCAGTCGGGGAGATGTATAGCTATCAGTCAGGGTTCTGGGCACTGCTTCCCTGGGCTGTCTGGGTTAGTCCATCGGGTCCGTTCACAAAGGGGAATGGGTGGGGGTAATGGCCACAGGGAGGAGTTTGGGAAACCTGTTTGTCAAAATTGAAATCTGCTGGCTGGGGGTAAGGAGGTTGTCAATTGAGAAGGGGAAGGGCAACAGTGTTTGTGAGGGGGTGAGGAAGTACAGAATGGTGTCATTTGGCGGTGAGTGATTTGTCCATGGTCAGGATCACCCTGGCTTCAAGGGTGGTACAGTCTATCACCACACCCTCATATGTCAGGAGGTGTGGTGAAAAGTGGGCAGCTTGATGGGTTGGGTGGACACCTGGGAAGGTGTGGGGCCTTGTGGGGTTCACAGCGAGGAGTTCCAGATATCTGGGGTCTCCATGAAACGTAGCGGCAGAGGCTGAAAACTATCGGCCGAGGAAGATTCACTGTCACCTTCAGCTGTGCTGGAAGTGGGAAGTACGCAATAGGAAGGAAAATGGCTGTGACCACACCCAGAGTGGGTGAGGTGAGGTGTCTTGACCTGTTTTGGGGTGGACAGGCTGAAAGACCCGCTGGCATGAGGCCCTTTATAGAGAAACGACATTACACAGAGCCATGCACTGTACAGGACACAGACCTGTAGGCCCCATTGCCAAGGTCTGCATGGGCCCCTAATCCATGGCCATCCTAATGCACAGGACCCCTGTTTGCCACACATTTTCCTGCCCCAGACATTACTAACCCACCTCATTCACAACCAACACTCATGGGAAAGAGTAGGCATGTTTTAGGACGAGGGGCAATAGTGCCAACAGAATCCATTCCTCGATAGAACACATCACACAAGCTGCAACAAGCTCTCAACACAAACATCACTCCATCTTGTGTGGACAAGACATTAGGCATCATTCTGGAACAGTTACATTCATGGCTACACAGAGAGACAAACAAATAGATGCAGTAAAGAACCAATCAGATACCTACCAACATGTTACTTCATTTCCAGTGCAATGTCTCCCATGTGCTTTTCTTTCCCCCCCACTGCATCTTACTGCTCTTCCAGGTTCCAGAGCTGAGGAGGGGGGCCGCCTGCTCAGCAATGAGGCCTGTTGCCCCTGGTGGTTTGATTAGGTAACCCCGGTGTCTTTCCATCTGACAACCCTGTCGTACCTTGGGGATTCTTGCCAGAGGCAAGTGGAATCTCCTCAGCTTGACCTTCCAAGGCTTGGATGGGGCAGGCAGGTGAGGTGGAGGGCCCAGCCACCTCTGGAGTGTTCAGGTAGGTGCCTTCTGAGGGGCCTGTGTGCAGGCCCTCCTCCGGTTGTGTGCCTCCTGGCACTGCCCAATGTCCTTGGGGCACCTGGAGAGCGCACCAGGTTCCCTATCCCCTGTCACCTGATGACCAGTGCCTGGGGTGATGGAGTGATGGTGTGAGCATCTTTCCAGCAGCCCCTGAGAGTCCTGGCCCTGTCACTCCATGGCAGAGACCAACCTGCCAATGGTGGCAGACAGACCATCACACGAGTCGCAGTCCTGGCTATAGCTCCTGGGCAATGACAGCCATTGCCTCCCACACTCCTATCTGCTGTCCCTGATGCTCCCTGTGCATGTGGACAAAGTCCCTGATGGCTGACACCACAGGCCCCTCTCTCGCCTGGGGCCTGGGGCCTGGTTCCTGGCAATCCTCCGACTGCCAGCGGACTGGGCTATTCCTTCCTCAGCTAAATGTAGAGTTGTGGCTGTGAGGTGCTCACCAGCTTGTGCCCCCCACCAACCCCACCGCACCCCCCACCCCACCCCTCCCCCCTCACTCTGTTCTATGGTTTCTCCCTGAGGTGGCAGTATTTGGGTTTGCAGGGGTGAAGGAGGCAGCAATGCCAATGCTTGGACTCCCATCCTCTGATGTGAAAAGGTGCGGTGCAGCAGACCATTTCCCTTCAGACAACATGGCCATCCCATCAACACCTGCAGAGACAAGAGAAAGAAAGCCTCATGCCCAGTAGTTTGAAGCAGTGTGTAATGAATGATACTGTCAGCGCAGTTAATGGGGAGCTAGCAATCCAACAAAGAGTGAAACTTGGTTGGTGGAACGTGAATGTCTCTGTATCCCCAGGGGAGAGGTACAGGTCTTCTCCAGTGAGGGACATGATCCCCTCCTTGCTGACAGTGAGGAATCTGAGGTCAGGGACCCCTCCACCTCCCATCCTGTCCTGGGCTGTCTTCTCCCAGAATGAGAGGAGAGAGGAGATTGAGTGAGATACAGATGGGTGACAGAGCTGTTAGTGCTGCTGTAGGTTGGGAAAAGGTGGCGAAGTGTTCCCAGGGAGTGATTAGACAGCACAGAAGGCACACAGGGTTGGCAATGTGGGAGGCTTGTGAGTTGGTGGGGTGGGAGTGAGAGAGCAAGTGAGGGGAGACATTGCGGGCATTTGTGGGAGTGACAGAACATGGACCTTGGTGGGCTGTGGGTGCTGTCGAAAAGATTGGAGTGAGGTAGCAGAGTGATGATTATGGCACTTACCCTGGCAGAGTAGAGAAGGCCATTGAATCTGTTGGCCATTCCTGCGGACTGTAGAAATCGCATCGTCTCATGCAGTGATTTCAGACCAGGCTCAGGGATCGTGGCCTACTCTGACAGGCCTCATCTGCATCAGCCCCTCCCTCAAAACCTCCAGGTCCTTGTTGGAGATTGGTGGTCTCACCTTTCCCCATCTCCGCCATCTTCAGACTGTAGGTCTGTCACTAGCAGGGCAGCTGTAGGGCCCCAGTGTTTGTCTAAGTGCTGCAGTGCTCCTGTATTGTGGTGACACACCTCCTCTGGGTGACCCATTGACAACCATTTACAATCAGTGACCTTTATTGTTTCGAAAAAAAAATCGAGTGATGCTGGTTGAGCTGTACACTTGAATTTCTATCATGTGATTCTGTTATTGAGTCATACAGCACGGAAACAGGCCCTTCAGCCCAAATTTTCCATGGTGATCAGATTTCTTAATCTGAACTAGTCCCATCTGCCTGCATTTGGCCTATATCT